GGGTGAGCGGCAGTCGCCGCTGTTGCCATACGCGGCTCATTTTCTGCAAACTTCATGCCTCTATATCTCGGTAAGTACTGATGGGAAAAAAAATTTTTTGGGACTAAAACAATCAGAAAAATAATCTTAACATTTTCATAAGAAAAAATAATTTTTTTTTTTTTCGAATATTTTGCGACACCAGGAGACACTTCAGGATTGGGCCCTTCGACAGTCAAAGGGTTAATATTTCATGTGGTAAAAATTTTTTTGGGTTCATACTTTGGGGTGTCAGGAACAGATTAATTTGATTTCCATTATTTCTTATGGGGAAAATTCATTCGCCGAACGATAATTTCGCCTAACATCGAGCTCTCAGGAACGGATTAATAGCGTTATGCGAGGGTCCACTGTAATTAAAAAAAAAAAGAGAGAAAAAAAGGTATATCGGCAACATTTCTGCAAGCAGCAGGACTCCATGTTGCCATCAGGTGAGAATCCAGTGCCAACTTCATGGCCTTATGTCTCAGTAAATACTGACCCTAAAAATTTGTTTTTGGCTTTATTGCACACAGAAAATTGCCCTCTTGGAAAAAAAAATAAATAAAAATATTTGGACAGCTAGCAGTGCAAACGTAGATCTATGTTTGGACAGCTAAGGGGTTAATAAGAGTAATGAATTTTTTTCATGAGACTAAAAACTGTGTCCACATCTCCATAATTTCTGAAATAACCCTATCCCCATTCAACTTCAAAGAAACCACTGACAGCATGCCCATGCACTTTGTTCTAGGCTTAGATTCAATGAAACTCTATATTCATCAAGAATTGCAAGAAACCACTATCTCATGCCTCAACCCCTTGACTGTCGCGGTCGTATATATACGTCATGGGAGATACAGTGTTTGACGTATCTATACGCATAAATTCTAGCGGCTTCAAATCAAGTGGGAGAGGGCTGGTAAGCCTACATGAGAGAGAATGGGTCTCAGTGGTGGGTGTGCACCCTGTGAAAAAAATCTGGAACTCAGCGGTGCATTGTGGGAACGCCATCTTGGTAGTCCATTTTCACCATGCCTCGCAGTAAGAAGTTCCTCACTCCTTGGCGGATTGGAGGTCTTTTGTTCCCAAGTGATAGCTCAAACAGCGATGAAGGTGTCAGTGAAAGTGAATTCCCTGGTTTTGAAGTGGGTGTGACCAAAAAAAGTGCCCAGGATAACATAATTAGTGATGAAAACCCAGATGACCCACAACCTTCCACCTCTGGTGCTGGGCCGGCTCGTTCATGTTCACCTGTACCAGGACGAAAGAGGAAACTACATGTATTTGCCCGTGTACAAGACTCAGATGTGAGCAGTGCAAGTGATAGTGATTTCAAGGTTATTGAAAGCAGTTCTAGTTGTGATAGTGAGGGTGAATATTCCCCAGTGAAGCGGCAGTATATACGACGTCGCATGCGGTCTGGTAGTGTGCCATATGCTCTTCCAAGAGGAAGGAGTACATCTCGGAGCACATCCCATGGCCCTACACCACGACCTGATAGTGAAGATGATGATATTGTTACGATGGGTATGAATGATGCAAGTGAGGCAGCAGGCGGTGGTGGTGATAGTGATGGTGGCACGAGTCATGTGACACCAGCAGCGGGCCACGCTACTACCCGCGCTGCTGACTCTGCACAACTACAACCAGCCTCACCCGACCCCACACTCCCACAACAACCACAACCACAACCTGCACAACCACAACCACATTGCAATATCCAGAACCCACCAGCTGACCGCATCAAGGATTGGCAGCAAGATGACGAGTTTGTTCCCAATCCCCATGACTTTGATGGAGGGCAAAGTGGAATACAGCCATCATGTACACTTGGGAACAATCCCACTGAACTGGAATGCTTTCAGTTGTTCTTCGATGAACCCCTGATGGACATTATTGTCAGGGAAAGCAACACATACTATGAGTACACCATGGCAAACACTATTCTGTCACCAAGATCATGCCTACACCAGTGGAAGGACACAACTGTGGCAGAGATGTATCTGTTCTTTGCCACAATAATGCTTATGCCACATGTGTATAAGCACAGTGTCAACACATACTGGGCGACAGACCGCCTGATTTCAACCCCTGCTTTCAGTGACATTATACCAGTGAATAGATTTGTGTTACTGTTACGTATGTTACACTTTTCAGACAAAACCAGGCCTGACAGAAGTGACAGGTTATATAAGATCAGACGTGTGTTTATGTACCTGAAACAAAAGTGCTGTATGTATTTTTATCCCTTCAGGAAGCTTGTTATTGATGAGTCTTTGATTTTGTTCAAAGGAAGACTCTCATTCAAACAATATATACCAAGCAAGGGGAAACGCTTTGGTATAAAGTTATTTGTTCTGTGTGATTGCAAAACTGGTCTGGTTTTGGATATACAATGGACCCCCGACTAACGATGAGCTCCCAACTCGACCAATTATGTAAGTGTATTTTTGTAAGTGCTTTTGTAGGTGTATTTTTGGGGGTCTGAAACGGACTAATCTAATTCACAATATTCCTTATGGGAACAAATTCGGTCTATAACAGCACCCGAACAGACTTCTGGATTGAAATAATATCGTTAGTCGGGGGTCCACTGTAATTGTGTACACTGGCGGTAAAACATTGGAAGATACCAGAAAGTTACTGGATATCTCTGGTGATGTGGTTAGAACAATGATGGAGCCATATCTTGGTAAGGGGCATATTTTATATACTGACAACTGGTACACAAGCCCTATACTCAGTGATTTCTTGTGAGTGAACATGACACGTGTGTGGCACAGTGCGTGGAAATTGTAAACATATGCCTAGGTTCGATGCTGGCAGTTGTAGAGGTGAAGTGCAGGTGCTTGCTGCCAATGACATAATGGCATTTTGGTGGCTTGACAAACGTGATGTCACACTGCTGACATCAGTTCACCGACACGAAATGGTAGACACTGGCAAGCACAATAGAGAGACCAATGAACCCATTGTAAAACCTGCAGCTGTGATGGATTACAACCTCAATATGTGCTTAGTGGACAAATGTGACATGCAGATTGGGTTTGCTGTGTTCGCGAGAGTTATAAGTGGTACATAAAACTGTGTTTCCATCTTCTTGACATTTCCATGCTGAATGCTTATAATATGTATAAGTTGAAGACCAAGAAGAAACCCAAATATGGTGAATTTTGTTTGTCAGTCATCAGACAAATAATATTCAAGTACCAAGGAACAACACCGGCAATAGACCAGCGCCAACGAAATTATCAACACATGTCCTCTCGTCTGAGGCCTGGTGATCACTACCCCATACCACTGCCTGCTACTACTGCCAAGAAAAATGCTCAGAAGAGGTGTTTTGTCTGTGGACATACCACAAAATGCCCACAAAAATGCAGAGACACTCGTTTTATGTGTGAGGAGTGTAAAACACCATTGTGCTTATACCCATGTTTCAAAGAATTCCACAAGCTGCAGCAGTTCTAGAAAAGTGTCCAGTGATTGTACATATGTATATATATTATAGAACAATCGTAATAAACATTATTTTTTTACATTGTTTGTTTGTGTAAACAAGTTTTAGCAACATTATAATGATACGAGTGTTTTTGCTATAATTGTGTTACATTCAACAAGTGTATATTTGAACATTGCACAATAATTTGGTCTCACAGGCCACAAAAGTGATGTGAAAAAATAAAATAGTGAAAAAAACAAGAAACCATCGAATACAAGTAAATCAAAGTTTGCTGGGTGAGCGGCAGTCGCCGCAGTTGCCGTTCACAGATCATTTTCAGCAAACTTCACGGCTCTATATCTCAGTAAGTACTAATGGGAAAAAAAATTTGGGGGTGGGGGGACTAAAACAGTCAGAAAAATAATCTTAACATTTTCATAAGAAAAATTTTTTTTTTTTTCGAATATTTTGCAACACCAGGAGACACTTCAGGATTGGGTCTTTCAACAGTCAAAGGGTTAAACATTACATGTACCTAGTCAAAATCTTTCCAAATTTTTAAGAAGGAAGTGTTAAATATATGAATTCACAGGTATTGCAAAGCAAAGGGCAACATTTATTCAGAGCAGTTTGCTCCTGCCTCTCACAGTTACTGAACCATTACAACAGGTTACTGGATACACTGAAAGACAAACAAAATGCATAGGTAGTCTACCCACACTTTGCAAAACCTTCATAAAGTGCAAGCAATAGGAATAATTGGGAAGATGGATATTCAACTTTTAAACTAATCATACTCAAACAATAATAGGGAACAAGGTAATATCAGAGGTTGCAACAGTGAAAAGACCTTTTCTTCAAACCACATTACTAGCCCCCAATTATCTTTCTCACTGTCATATCTAACACAGACAAAAACATAAATCATAGCAAATATCAGTACCCAGTCTATCATAGGGCATTTCTAAGATTCCTGTGACTGTAGCACTCACTATTCCCTCTACACTATTCCATTATTTTACCACTTCTTGAAATAAAGAAAAAACTCCTTTTAGCAGCTTCTTTTCTTTAGTTTACAGTTACAGTGTCTTGTTTTGGTAAATGACAAGGTGAAGAAGTTTGAGTACAACTCTGTGAGTACAGTGGAACCTTGGCACTCTAACTTAATTGGTTCCAGTAGGCTGTTCAAGTGTTCGAGTACAGAACAAATTTTTCCCAACCAGTTTTCCTTTTGGTTGGCTGTTATCACTAACCCTCTTAAGCCCCATGGCGAAACGCCAAAATATGCAAACAGCAAAGTTCTGGTAGGTCGTGTCTGTTTGGGCGAGTGCCGAGCAAATGGTCGACTACTGAGAGATTTGTTTACCAAAGCATTCGAATACCAAATTGTTCAAGTACGAAGCTGTTCAAGTACTGAGGTTCCACTGTACTTCATTCTTTATACATAACAAGAATAAGCAAGTAGACAGAAGGAAAGTGACCAACAATGTGCTAGATTGTACATTCAAATTATAGATATAAAAATTGTTGAACTTACATGTCCCTCCAGTCGTTGATGTTTTAACACATTCCTCTGAGGTTTTAGGAAAGGCATCCAAACTCTTCACTATCTGAAGTGCCTTTTTCCTGTGGCGTAACATCTCTGAAAAATAAATGTTATAAGTACAGATGTTCCTGGCTTTATACAGCAGTGGTGTTCAAGGACCATGGCAGCTGTACTGAGATCAGATCCACATAAGAATCTGATATTTGGAAACTGTACTGATCACATATTGTACAACAAATGTACATCACACATAAGGAATGTTAGACCCAAATGGAAATAAGTGATCCTAACAACAATCATGCTGAACAATTCTTTCAACTTGTATTATTCCTGTCATTGTCTGTTATTTAATCATCACATGTACCTTGCTTCATCCTTAATATATCACTAATTATAATTTTTGTATTGAGTTACTAAATACCTCTAATATTTTAAAAACTATGTATTCTTATTCTCATACACTTCTAATCATAATAAAATTTTAAGACTGCCCAAAATGCTTTGCATAACAAGGAGCTTTCTATAGTTACACATGTCAGTCACCTCAATTGTATAATATATTGTACTCCACTCTAAATATAGAAATAAAGTTTTTGCTTAAATGTTTATTTTGGGATGAATGGGTTATCCTAGGTTAAATTCTACATAATTTATAACAATAATAATAATAACTTAATAAGTAAAACTACTGTAAAAGTTTAAAATTTTGTACAGTGGAACCTCAAATATCGAACTTAATCCATTCCAGAAGCTAGTTCTAAATTCGAAAAATCTGAAAATCGAAGCAATATTTTCCATAAGAAATAATGGAAATACAATTAATCCATTCCAGAAACCCAAAAATATTCACAAAAAATACATTTTATAGAGATTAATTACAGTTTTGCATACACACAACAAATACTATAGCATTCAATTATGTATATAAATATAAAATAACATTTTTACTTACCTTTATTGAAGATTGGTGATGGCATCTGGAAGATAGGGAGGAGGAGAGAGGGAGTTGGGGTTAGTGTTTGGAAGGAGAATCCCCCTCCATGAGGATTTCAGGTAAAGCCCTCTCTGGGGTTACTTCCCTTCTCTGTCTTTTAATGCCACTAGGACCAGCTTGAGAGTCACTGGACCCCTGTCTCACAAAATAACTGTCCACAGTCCTCTGTTTCTGGTGCCTCTTTAACATTTCCCTAAAATGGGACATGGTTCTGTCATTGAACTTGTTGCAAAGATGGCTTGTTTCAGCTTGCTCAGAGTGGTACTTCTCCACAAGCATTTGAACATCATTCCACTTGGCACAAATCTCCTTAATCTTTGAAGAAGGCACCTCATCCACTCCCTCTTCCTCCTCCTCTGAAGCAAGGTCCTCAGCTGTGGTCTGATACTGCTCCAGATGAAGCTCTTGCAGCTCTTCAGTGGTTAGCTCTTCCCTGTGGTCCTCCACCAACTCTTCCACATCCTCATCACTCACCTCCAGCCCCAGGGTGTTCCCCAATGCCACAATAGAGTCCACAACAGGCAGAGGGTCAGCTGGGTCAGGGTCAGGGTCAACCTCAAACCATTCGAAATCCCTCTTCTGGACACAATCTGGCCACAATTGTCTCCAAGCAGAGTTCAAAGTCCTGGAAGTCACTCCCTCCCAAACCTTACCTATAAGGCTTATGGAGCTGTAGATATTGAAGTGATTCCTCCAGAACTCTCTTAGGGTCAACTTAGTGTCTGTGGTCACTTCAAAGCACTTTTCAAACACTGCTTTTGTGTAGAGTTTTTTGAAGTTAGAAATGACCTGCTGGTCCATGGGCTGGAGGAGAGGAGTGGTGTTAGGAGGCAAGAACTTCACTTTTATAAAACTGAAGTCCCTAGACAAGAGGTCTAATAAGTTTGGAGGATGAGCAGGAGCATTGTCCATTAACAAGAGGCACTTGAGTGGAAATTTCTTTTCCAGGAGGTATTTCTTCACAGTGGGGCCAAACACTTCATGGACCCACTCCTTGAAAATTTGTCTTGTGACCCATGCCTTATGATTAGCTTTCCACAAGACACATAACTTGTTCTTAAAGACATTGTTTTTCTTAAACACACTGGGATTTTCTGAATGATACACAAGTAAAGGCTTCACTTTAAAATTACCACTAGCATTAGCACAGGACAAAAGAGTAGGCCTGTCTTTCATAGGCTTGTGTCCTGGCAGTGCCTTTTCCTCCTGTGTGATGTAGGTCCTCTTTGGCATTTTCTTCCAAAACAGGCCTGTTTCGTCATAACTGAACACTTGTTGGGGTTTGAATTTTTCAGTGTCTATGTACCCCTTAAACTCTTGTACAAATTTCTCAGCCACCCGTTTGTCTGAACTGGCTGCCTCAGCATGTCTTAAAACACTGTGTATGCCACTATGCTTCTTAAATCTGTCAAACCAGCTTCTGCTGGCCTTACATTCACTATCAGCACTGGTTCCAGGAGTTTTCTGAACCAGATCAACATGCCTTTTCGCAAATAATCGTCTCTGAAACACTATCACCTGCCATCTCTTTATCCTTGATCCACACCAGCAACAACTTCTCAACCTCTTCAACTATTTGTGGTCTTTTTTTGGCTAGCATATTAACACCTTTCGCAACATCAGCTTCCTTGATTTGTTCTTTCTTTGCCAGGATAGAACTGATGGTCGACTTGTTTTTCCCATACATCCTGGCAAGCTCAACAAGTCTCACACCACTCTCATATTTCTGTATTATTTCCTTCTTCACATCTATGGTGTTTCTCACTTTCTTTACCACAGGGGTACCACTAGCAAGTTTCTTTGAGCCCATGGTAGCTTATTTCACAGTCCCACAAGCACTAAACACAATGAAATAATCGTAAAATGTTTAAGTGAGAGCGCAGGTTAGTGTTCACTCAAGCATCAACAAAGCCAGACTGGCTCACGGCGCCTGCGCGGGGATGCGGACAGTGCGCGCTGGCAGACAGGTCTAGTACCCGGCGGTCCGAAAATAGGGGTGCATTCGATAATAGGGACAAAGTTGGTTCGAAAAAAGGGTTCTATTTTTGAAACATTCGATAAGTGATACGTTCAAAATTTGAGGTTCCACTGTATAAGGTTGAAATAAAACTTATACACCTACCATCCGGCTTACGACCTACTCGACTTACGACCGTGTTTTTTATGCCAAATTTCTGGGAAATAAACAACTATTTGTGTTGTACACAGTGTTTATCCTAAACCTTACAGTATAAAATACAGTACTAACAACATAAAAATTAAAGTAAAACATGAAATACCAAAATAAAACAATAAAATAAAGTCATTACAAAAATGTTTTGTTGATATTCAGTAGTAAAGTTCGACTTACGACCATTTCGACTTACGACCGGTTTCTTGGAACCGAACTCGGTCGTAAGTCGGATGGTAGGTGTATATCAGTAGAAATGATACATCACATAATACCAAATTTAAAAAAAAAAAATTAATGTTCTAGTGTAAATTACTCAGAAATTTAAGAAACACTGAAGAAATAATTTAAAATATTGAAAAACACCTCTACTCTACCTTCAAAACCTCAAAGACAGGGAACTCCAGCAATTTCAAAAACACCCTGGCAACCAATAAAATCTTATAAATACTATAAAAATTATTGAAATATACTATAGAAAAACTGAAAATTACAAAAAACAAAAACTGCAAAAATGCTATAAAAATTACAGAAAAATATATGCCAAACAAGTATTTTCCTATATCCTCTCTACACCTGAACTATTAGAACAATTTAGTCGTAGTCTAAGTTTACCTGAAATGCTAAACAAATTATGAGCTTTTAAAATATTAGGTTTATGTTGATACATTAGTCACAGGTGAGACTGCCTATGACTGCTTCACCTAACCTGTCTGCAGTACATCAATAACTTGCATAGTATGGTTAATGAGTGTCAAATACCATACTATGCAATACCATACTGATCAAGGCATTATAATAATGTGTTTTAATGTATGTTATAATGCGTTCTAAAAATACGATTAAATGCATCGGATCACAAAAATATTTCGCCATTTGCTTAGTACGAAGTCTTGCACACACTTGCAGATAAAGAGATTACAAAACATAAAAATGAAAAAAAAATAGAAGTACAGTGGAACCTCAGCTTATGAATGCCCCACCATGCGAATTTTTCAGGATACAGTCACTCGATCGATTTTTTGCTTCTGGATACGATTGATATTTCAGGATTTAAACTTCCCCCTCAAGGGAGGTTCCTTGGTGAGGGGCTCTTGATCAAGGGAATTGGATCTATGCTCCACTTCCCTAAATTAATAATAATAATAATAATTATTATTATTATTATTATTATTATTATACATATGTAATAATAATAATACACTGCAGTAGGCCTGTTGGTCCATACTAGGCAGGTCCTTCACAATCCATCCCACTAACAGAATATTTGCCCGACTCAATTTTCAATGCTACCCAAGCAATAAGCTTTGATAATTCTATTTACTCATGTGCAGGTCCCCCTCACGTCCAACTCCTCTCACTCACGTATTTATCCAACACAAATTTGAAACACCCAAGGTTTTAGCCTCAATAAATATTGCATAACTGCATCTCATAAATTATAACCTGTGACCTTATCAAAATTTGTTTTTTTAATTACATTACCTAATAGAATACTTCATTCTCTTGAATGCACAGTAACTCATCAAATGACCATATGATCTGTCTTTGAAATACTCATTTGTGCTTAATTGTTATTCGTTTACTGTAATTTTTACCACTGAATATATCATTTCTTATTTAATCTTAAGTTAATTTTAAGCCTGCCCATAATGCTCTGCATACAAGGGGCTTTTGGAATGTACACTTAACCATTGTATTTCTCTGTACATCTATGTATCATGTCCAAATTAATAATAAATAAATAAATAAATAAATAAATAAATAACCATACTAGGTAGATTATTCCACTCATCAACATAAGAACATAACAAAGGAAGAGCACTGCAGCAGGCCTGTTAGCCCATATTAGGCAGGTCCTTCATAATCCATCCCACTAACAGAATATTTGCCCAACTCAATTTTCAATTCTACCCGAGGAACAAGCTTTGA